CCCCCCCCCCCCCCCGCCTTCTCCACCAGTGCTAACTGGAAGCACATTCTGTCCTTAGAGCTTCCCTTGTACTCATCTGTTTCCTACTTAACAAACATCTCTCTCTATCTTGTATTTAGTTCTTTACAAACCGATTTTATCTCTCCTACTGGACTCTAAACTCCTCGAGGGTAAGACCTGTGTCAGATTTATTTTTAATTCCCTCAGCATCTATCGCAGTTCCCGGAACGCTGTAGATTCTCAATAAATATTCATTGGGTGAATAAATGAATAATGCACAAACACCATGGGCAGGACAATCTTTGTGGCTATTTGTCAATTTCAATAATGAAACCACCGTATCTGTAAGATGGATTGGCTCGCAAATAAAGCTGTAATTTCCGAAGCAGAGTGGATTCTGATCCTGATTTGTGAAAGACAACAACTACGTTGTTTAACGTTGTTAAAGTGTAAAAGCAAGGAAGAATGTGATGCTTGACAACTGTGCTCGCTCTCCCTCTCTCTCCCTCTCCACCCCCCGTCCCTCCTTTTGGTAACAGATGTCAACCTCGGTTAGATTCAACTCAACTTATTAGTGCATGGCTTTTAGCCAAAAGCAATTCACATTTGCAGAAGTGTACTATCACATATGTCTTAATAACAGAAATGTGTTTTTAAAAAAATGTATGTGATAAGTCACATATGGTAGAAGAAATCTGTACATCTCTCAGGCCTTGTTGTCACAATGAAAGCTTGAAGATAATTGCTGCAGACCATTAACATACAAGTGAAAGTCTCTCTGACACATTAAAGAGCCACAGTTTGAACATACTAATCAAGCTTTGATATCGGCACGGCTCCAGCAGACTGAGAAATATACCAGCATCTCTTGTCCTGATCACTGATCTTAAGAACATTCCATTTTGATTCTTACCCTCAGAGGTAATATTTAATGTTTCAGGGTAGAATCATTAGTGTATCCAGGTACATTATGGGCTTACCTTCACTAAGCATATATTTAATTTCTCCTTTCTATGGAGTGTAATTAATGTGTACCACGGTCCCCCTGTGGTGTCGAAAGAACCTTACAACCATGAAGGCATTAAAAGTAAATTGAACAAGTGCTTGAGAAATGGGGAAGAGGAAGCAAACCCTTGGAGGGGAAAACAGACCAACTAAATGGATATTGTGAGTCATTTACCATCACTGCGATTGAAAGTATGCTTAGCCTTAGTCAGATCTTGGGGAGTAATGGAATTTTGGAACATGCACGTGCCTTTTGCAATATACCCATCTACATACAACTTGGAAGGCTAGCAGTATGCTCTAGCTCTGTGTTCACCGGTTTCTGACACATAGCTGCTCTGTCAATAGGTCTCATATGCGTAACGACTTCAAAGATAGTAAATTAGGAGCGGTCTCTTTGCTCTGAATGAGAAATGAGAATTGGGTGGGACATCATCCTAAGATATCCAGAACCCGTGAAAAGGGCTCAGTAAACACCTGCTCAATGTTTTAAAGGCCAAAAAAAAAAGGGGGGCTGATAAGTTTAACTTGCACGGTCATGGAAAAGCTTACATCTGTGCCTTTCTCTTCTCTTTATTTTTAAAAATTTTTAAACATTTTTATTTATTTTCGACAGACAGAGAGAGAAAGAGCGCAAGCAGGGGAGGGGAAGAGAGAGAGGAAGACACAGAATCTGAAGCAGTCTCCAGGCTCTGAGCTGTCAGCACAGAGCCCAACACAGGGCTCGAACCCATGAACCGTGAGATCATGACCCAAGCCGAAGTTGGACGCTTAACTGACTGAGCCACCCAGGCACCCCTGCTTTTATTGTATTTTTTTAAGTTTATTTATTTTTGAGAGAGGAGGAGAGACAGAGAGAGAGAGCACAGGAGGGGCAGAGAGAAAGAGAGAGAGAGAGGGAGACACAGAATTCAAACCAGGATCCAGGCTCTGAGCTGTCAGCACAGAACCTGATGCAGGGCTCAAACCCACCAACCGTGAGATGACTTGAGCTGAAGTCGGACGCTCAACCGATTGAGCCAGCCAGGTGCCCCTGTGCCTTTTTCTACCTGACCAATGAGGGCAGGGGTCAGCAATCTTTTTCTGTAAGGGGCCAGGTAGTAAACAGCTTTGGTTGTGTGGTTTGTACGGTGTCTGTCGCAACTAAACTCTGCCACTGTAGCACAAAAGGAGGCACAGACAATACGGAAACAAATGAGTGTTGCTGTGTGCCAATATAGCTTTTTTTATAGGCACTGAAATTTGAATTTCATGTAATTTTCACATGTCATGGAATATTCTTTTGATTTCTTTTCCCCAACCATTTGCCAAACCCTGCACCAGATGACGACATCCAATCACACATATGATCACGTGCACCAATGTGCGTTCATGCTTTATTTGTAAATGCCTCCAGACCTCTACTTTTCCAGCAAGACTGTATACACTTTCCATCGTGCGCTCCATCAAATGTCAATTCTGGCACAGAAGATCAAGCCAGTGACTGGTCAGAGGCAAAGCAGCTCGGATGAACCAGAGCAACGTGGGAGTATTTTATACGTGGCGCGAGCCGAGAATATGAGGGTAGTGGATGACTTCATCTGTCACAACAGACGGCCCCTTCCGGTCTGACACTCTAGTTAGTATACGGCCAACCGTCTCCTGAAGCCTCCAGGCCAGGTTCCCGGAAGGGCTGTTTTCTGGGATGTGTCCAACGTGTTGACCTGCTCATTCAGTCACAAAAACATGGGTTGAACCCTTACTCTATTTGAGGTCTCAGTGCACTGTGTGTAACCAAAATTCTCCGTCAGACATCAGAACCAGAAAGAGGACTGCTACGCACAAAACTGTAAAAACTCCGCTTTGGCTATGCTGTCAGGCAGTGTAAATGACCCACGCTCTGGAATTTCTGTCCCTGAGCTAAGGTCTTGAAGAGATCTCTCTTCTTCAAGTGCCCAGCGGTTGTGGCTGGGCGGCTGGGCTAGGCGTCGTGAGCCCGCATGTAGCCCGGTACCCAAAGGCACACCAAGAACAGCATCTTACTTAATTAGAAGACAATTCTAAGCATCTACCAGTTGATTGTGAGGCTTATTACTAAGCAGATTTTCAAATATATTTACACGTAAAAAGCTCCATATTCTATCACTAATTTTCTGGCTCTGCCGTTTTTCCCGTTTTCTCTTTACCATACGACTTATGGTGCTAGACATTAGATGGGAGTCTCACCGTGAATTAGCCAGAACCCATAATATACATATTGTGCATATATATTGTGTACACACACACACACACACACACACACACACACACACATTATCTGTAAAATCGAATCCTTACAAGGAGCACGCCAAGATGGAGCCTGGGTCTTATTTCCTATCGGGGGGGTTTGAACTTGGATAGGTCTGCCCCACTGAGGGCCTGGGCTTACCCTCCTCCAGCCCTTGCCCCATCCCTTGTGACCTGGGGCACACATCTGCACACCGGTGGACTGGAGGGAAGGGTGCAATAAGACTAGGGGAAAGGAGATTGCTAATGGCCCACCCAGGGACTAGCAGTTCTGGCCTCGGCCTCATTAGCACCACCCTCTAATCCCGCCACAGGCTGGCAGTAGAGAAGCCTTCAGGGCATAGACAGGAAAGAAATCAGGCTGCAGAGAAGATTTCAACCGCAATCAAACAACCAGCCAGAAACTCAGCTACTGGAAATACTCCCCTAAGATGACTATAGCACAATACATCTCCAGACAACAGAAGCTCCTCGAGAGGCTACAAAAGCCGATAAGGAATATTCTGTGGCCTAAGAAAAATGAATTTGAAAAAGGACACGAAACCTTTTGGAAAAATGAATTAGAGGTTGGATTTAATGGTGTGCTAAACACTACCCCGGTGACTTGGAAAAGCAGCCTTCTTGCCATCGCTATCAGTTGACCCATTCTCCCAGAAACTATTCAAAATCAACGCACTCCCCCATTTCTGCATTCAGTGCCCACGACAACGGGACAGGGCTACCCTGATTTAACGCGGAGTTCCTTGAGGCGTGATACTGCGAGGCCTGTAACAACCCAGACAGGAGAGCAGGACTTCCCTAGGCCATATGGCTGGTGGGCCTAGTATGCATTAACAGTGCAATCAGATGTCACAAACCCAAATGACAAGGCAAACATCCTTCTTAATTTGAAAGTCTCCCTTCTGGAAGAGGCAGGATGTCCAAGATGTACTATATTTAAAAGAATACGGCGCTGCTTGTTTATAATTTAAGAGTGTCCCACAAAAATGCCTTGGCAATAGCTCTCTGTTAGCTAAAAAAACCTTTAGTTAAATATATTTTTATGAGCTTTTCATTAACAGGGTAGCAAGGCCTTGATGCCAAGGTGCCGAAGCTCCCCACGTGGCTGGAAATCACTTGGCACATTTTTAGCCATTTAAGTCTCTGTCGTAGGTCCAAGGTTTGCAATTAAATATATAATCTTTTTAGCATGCGCAAAACCCAAAGGCCTGAAGTGCCGTGCCTCGAATGGGATTATAATAGTATTTGGCAACTCTTCATGGATGGCACGTATTAATTTATGTAAACTGGGCACGACTTGGGGCACTTAGTCATCAGGACCACAAGCAAAAATAAAATAAAAATAAAAGCTAGTCCCCACTAGCTCTTTTTGGGTTTTGGTGGGTTCCCCCCGCCCTTGTTTTGTTTTTGTCTGTCGACTGTCATAAACAGAGAGGAACTTGAAATCCCAGGTCTCTTTTACGACCTTATTTTTCTTCACATGCATGGAGTCCATTCAAATTAAAAATGCCAACTAATAAAAAATAACTTACTTCACAGGATTGTTCTTAGGTTTTGCCTTTTCAACAGCCTGTAAGCAGAAGAAAAAAAAATGCAATTAGACAACATTAGCAGGCATAATCTTTGCAACTAGTTACCAAACAATAAGCAATATAAAATGCTCTTCCGAAACATAAGGACCTAACCGAAGCAGGCTGCTTTGCGATAAGCAGACTGGAGACACAGAAAGCAATTTTCCTCTCCCGGGGAACATGGTTACCTGTCCAAGTACAGCTTTCAGACACAGACACTCATTCCTGTCTCCCCACCCTGCACTCAAATCTTACCTGCTGGGTGGGCTTGCCTGGGTTATTACCACCGGATGGAGAGGCAGGGGCGGGGGGTGGGGGACAGTCATGGGCCCATCCCGGGTTTTTAGATCTGTGGCAGGGACCCATTTACCCTGCCTGACTACTGACACCTGGCCGCACCTGCGTGGTGAGAGCAAGGCCAAAGTAGCCATTTCTAAAATCATTTTTATTAGCAGACACCACAAAAGGCCAAGGGACGACCGACTACTCGGATCAATGTCCTCCCGTGGAACCTTTAAGAAAACACACACCAAATCATCGAAATGAGGAAATCTCTGGGCCTCTCGGCCTGTGTCGCCTTAGACATGGAGCCTGGTTCCAGTTTATTGCTGAACCCATTGATCTGTGTACAGTCCATTTATCATTCATGAAAAGAGCTAGTGATCTTCACAGTATATTAGAAGAAACAACTCAGATCATCTGTCAACAGCCCTCTTAGAGATTTCTGTTTCCCTCTCCACAGGGATTGCATCTCCTTCGATTCTTCTGGAATTAAAATGTTGCTAAGCAACACAGCTGGGGGCGCTGATGGCAGAATGGCTACAGTCTATCAAACTGTTTAAGCACCTGGAGGGTTTCAGTGATGATTTTTTTCATACTTCTGTAGCATAATTATGTAATCAGAACCAAACTTGTACTCCCCTAGACTTTTTCAGACTATAGAAAGAACGCTTACTATGGGGAGCACTGAGACCTTCAGACCCTTTCCAGAAGTATCCATCCGGAGACCTTCGTATCTGTGAATCTCGGAGGTGGGTGAGGCCTACAGGATATAGAGGCAGCTACTTGTAATGCTGGACTCGGCGTTCGGGGTGACCACTGCGTGAGGAAATACCCCAAAGCAAGCCTCCTATGCCTAACTAAGGCTCGACACGCTTCGAAGCGATTTTGTTTGAAAGAAGTGAAACGCTTCGCAAGTTTAGAGACTAGTGCTGGGAATTCAAGTCCTTCTCACCTACGACGTCTCGGGTTCTGCTGCTAGGTAAATAAATACCCATTAATAGGTGGGCAGGTTATTTGCCTCTCGGTGGCAGAAATCACCTTCTCACCATCTGTGCCCGGGGTTGAATTCTGGCAGGCGGCACAGCGGCAAGAAAGCGAGAGCAAGAGGTAACAGGTGAAGATGATAAAATAAGCAATAGGTGTGTGGCTGGCCCGCGTCACGTCTCACATGTAGTTCGGAGATGCAGGTCTGTCCCTGAGACGGCCCCGGAAAGGAAGCGGAAAGGAAGAGGCGGATGCTGGCGGGGAGCAGGGGCCGGACCCAGTCTACCCACCTGTGCACACCTGCACCTTCCTTTTCTACCGCCTTTCGTCCCCCAGTCCTGGCTGGGTCGGAACGGGGTAGGGAAATGGGATGGAGACGTGTCATTGTGGAAATCACACGAACCCACTTCGCCCCATCTCTTTAATCCAAATGAGTCTGTGCTTAAAGAAGACGAAGGCTATGTCATGAAGTAACGAGCATGCTGTTCGAGTGGTTTCCTTTGAAAGCACGCTGGAAGTGATAGTTTGAGCAGGCCACTGGCAGAAGACAGGGAGGGAGAAATCAAAGTGACATTGCTTAACCTAGCTTTCATTCAGCGACATGGTTTTTGAAAATGTCTTCTCTTCTCTGATCAGGAGGAACATAATCGTGTTCGAGGCCAGTTTTTTTGAAACCTATGTCTCTCTATACAGCCATCACAGGAAAATAACTTCATTGAAATTAATGTTTTCTGGGCTGCTTGGCTATTGATTGAAAATGTCTATGCCGAGAGGTTCTCTTTCCTTTGGGAATTAACTCGGGATCATTCCGGAGCGCCAACCGCTCTGCTCAGACGTGCTCACGTCACCCTCCTGTGTGCTCAGCACCTTTGATCTCCAAGCTGAGCGGTCGCAGGGAGTGTCAGACCTGAGAGAGAGCTCACAGTGTGTGTCCTTTATGCTCACTGCGATGTGACTTTGTTTCAAGCGTGATACAGAGAATTATTCAGCTCCCAGACTTTGAAGAAAACTTAAGTGAATTATTTGTGGGAAAAAATATCTATGTCTTTAGGGTCTGAGAAGTAGTCTACAAAATACACAGGGAGAACATCCCTTTCTCTGAAACGACGTGACGTGAAAAGACCAATCCCAAGTACAAAATGGGAGATCCCCTTAAAAAGGAGGGGAATCAAAACAAAATGATCTCGTGTAATTCACCACACATTACCAGGGTTGCACATTGGGATGACAGATCATTTTGAGTTTAAAAACATACATTAAAAGTAATTTAAACTGATTGGAAGATGGAGGCTAGATAGTTAACACTCATGCTGGTTTAATTTGCAATGTCTATACGCTTTCTAAAACCTACGTTCTACTTCTTTTGTGCCGCGTTTCCATAACATGATACTCATCTTGTCACTAAGGCACCTCTACTCTAAGGATGATACAATAAATGAAAACGTTAGCAAATATATTCCACCATGGTGTGAGGAGAGGCCGTGGACTATGGCGGAAAGACTGATGAGGTACAAATCCAGAAACCTGAGGGTCGATGGCGGGGGGAGAGGTGGAAGGGAGGGGAAAGTGGGTGATGGGCATTGAGGAGGGCCCCTGTTGGGATGAGCACTGGGTGTTGTATGGAAACCAACTTGACAATAAATTTCATATTAAAAAAAGAAAAGAAAGAAATCCAGAAACCTGGGTTCCGCCCCCAGCTTTGCCACTTACTATCGTCATGACATTAGCAAGGTGACGGACACTTCTGAGCCTGAGTTTCCTCATTTTAAAAATGAAGATAATCAGTCCTGCCCCATCTAGATCAAGGGCGGTCGCGAGTAGCCCGCATCCACGACGGTGCTCGAGAAACAGCCTGCTCTGCTTTCCGGCTTCCGCGCACACACCGGCACCGCCAGAGAGCTTATGGGCTTGCTGACTTAGTGACCCGGTAGCAGCTAGCAGACGTATGCAGTTATTCCGGACTAGAATGCTCCCGTCTGGAAAGTCCTCCCCGAGGGAGGTTTTGATGTGTTTAGGTCCTGACACGCCTAGGCCAGCAGGAGACAGAGCCCGGTACCTTCACGTGGGCCTCTGCCCTCAACCTTCTCAGGGGCTGCTGCTGGTGGCAGCGAGGTCAGGGTCCCCGAGGCGCCGTCGGGGGCACGTGGGGGGGGGCGGGGGGCACTGTGGGGGCACGAGTGCTCGTGCAAACACTCAAATGTCTCTGTCTCCCTCCCTCTGTCATAGGGCATCTTGAAGAATTATACGCCCGGAGAGAAGGCTCGTCTCTCATCCCAGGAGTGTTCACGAACTGATTCCTCAGGAGGGATGATGGGGTAAAGGACACGCTCATAGGTGCTCACTCATTAAATCTATCTTCCTCAAATGAAGAAAGGACCTCGCCTTTCTGTGATGCAGACACTCCTCCGGCCGCGCCGAAGCCGAAGTGAATCAGGGACCATACTGAATTACAGGAACCGTGAAAGTGTTACAGCTGTCCTGAGAAAACAGAAAGCAGGAAGGAAAGAACGTGGCCGTCTGGTGAGTCCCGTCCTCCATGGCATACGTAACGCCGTGTTTCTTTAGGGAGAAAGTGCTACGAACGCTTGCTCCGTAGATGGATGTACCTACCTTTCAAGAAACCCTCTGGTAAGGGAATTCTGTCCCGGTGTTATTCTAGTCCAGCAAACATGTATACTACATTTATTTATTTTAACCGAGAGAATCTTTTGGGGCTTTTCAGAAACATGCCCTGAACCGTGATAGCCACACTTATGATAATGCCTTCGCCCTGGCCCCAGGTGTGCAGAAAACGGATCCAATGCAGTATGGTTCCTGTTTGTTGAGACTGTCAAGGTGAGCACGTGGATGGCCTAGACATATTATAGCAGTGGACTCATTTTCCAAGGCTGTGTATTCAGGTACTGCTTTTTTCCTTAATCAATAATAATGCTGTCAGTCAAGCATACAACGTGATTCTATCAGCACTTCTCTCTATAGCTTTTGCCTCTCCCGCTTATGTGTTTTTCTCCTGGCATTCTGCTGGCAGATATACCCAAGCTGGATCTATACAACACATTGCGTGATTTAAAAAAAAGTGAAAAGTCAATCCTTCAGATAATTTTTAAATAAGTGTCTATTGGGGCATTATGGAAACAAGGCAGAAGAGCCATTGATTGCATGGCTTTTGTGCTTCTGTGTTTTCCCTTTTTTAACTCTTCACAGGGCTATTCTGTGAGACACGGCCTTACCTTAACCTAGTGGCATGTATTGGAAAATTGTATCGATCACCTACGTTCAGAAGAGAAAACCCCTCTATTAACAAATGAACTCATCATTAGGGTATTGCGATGGTCTAAAATCAGTATCTCCAGAATTGGTTAAATCAAGTAAAGAGACATATACTGAGAACACTTGCCCAAATATAAAAAGGAATTGCTTAATTATAGCATTTAAATAGACTTCACTGGAATGAGTGAAACAGCCAGAGGCTCACATTATATCCTATAGGCTGGAGTTTCAGCGGGCGGCTCACGTGCATAGGCAGGATGGCAGATTAAGAGGAGAAAATGTCACTCAGCATTTTGCAACACCTGAATGCCTGCCTGAATTTCTGACTGTATATCCAGGGACTGAAATCTTTAGGAAAATACCACCTATTGCGTTTAACCCTCTGAAGAGGTGCACAGAAGGAAACGTGGAAAACGTCACGTGTTTGAACCTGGAACCTGTAGGAAGTAAAAACACGTTTCCT